AAACATTAATGATAACTAAAGATTAATAATTTTTAGGAATATAAGTAAACAATAATGAATATAACTATAAGTCAATGAGATAATTTTTTTTATATTAAAAATTAATAATATTTCGTTTTTTTTATGCAAAGCTATATTAATTGCGAATTGCTTAAGTATTTAAATTTAAAGTAATATATGTATAATTAATAAAATGAGAGTAGTGAAAAGTCCATTAATGGATGTCATGTAATATGGTTATCCGTGATCGATTAGAAATCGAAACGAGAGCAGAGTTGTTATCATCTCGCCGTGGGAATAACTCGTTAACGCGCTAATTTCGTGTTTTTCATTCCCTGGAGAGAAGCGAGAAACGCGTCATTCATTTCTATGCGCTTTAAAATTTGAAAGGATAAAAGCACGATAGAAAATCTCGGTTAAAATTTGATTTAATGTTATATTAAAAATTTCTGTTATATTATTTTAAATATAGCATTTGTTAATTTCAACGAGAAAAATATCAATGAAAAAAATATCAGTTTCTTTATCTTAAAACTGTTTTACACATGAAATATATGTTCCGAGTTTTCTCCATAATTGGAAATTTTTTTCAAATTAGTTTATAATTTAGCAAAAATTATATTAAATATGAAAGATAAAATAAACGTGAAAGAAATCTGTAAGAAATTCGATTATACGTCGTTTTGTTTCGCTTTTAACATTATAATGTTAAAATATTTGAGAATCGAATAAAATAGAATTTTTCTATTTACGTTACTGTAAAATTTTATATAAGAAAATTCCCAACATTTTTTTTATTGCCTATATAACTCGAATATATAACCGCTATTGGTGTTTCGCCAAAAACATTAAATTAGGTTTATGACCGAGACGATTGCTGTAACTTATCTTTATATACGTGAGGTAAAATTATATCGCGCACAACGAAAGGTTGCAATGTTCTCTGGAGAATTTCCAAATTCTGTTACAATAGTCTTTATAATAGTATTTATATAATATTTAAGATACGGCAAAAAATTCTCTCTCTTTTTATGGTTGCATTATTTGTTTCTTCAAATTCTTTTAAAATAATGAAAAGTAACTTTAAACCATATATTTGTATATACATCTAATATACTAGGTTCAATATAACATCTTTATTGCATTATCGTTTCACGTCTTAAAAACTTGATATGCAGATTTAAAAATATTGAATTTTAAGTAATGTTACACTGGAAAAAATATTTTGTTGCGTTAACAAAAATTCTGTTCAAAAATGGACGAAAATAGAATTACTGGTTGAATTTATCAGAATTCTTTTTAATACAACAAATATCTGGTTTGCACAAACAACTGATTTGTTGTTTTAACAAACAAGATCTTTGTTGCACTGAAAAGAATTCTGATAGATTCAACCAGTAATTCTGTTTCGTCCATTTTCGAACAGAATTTTTGCTGATGCAACACAATTTTTTTTCCAGGTAATTACAGAATTAACTAAATTTATTACAAAATGCAAAACTAAAACAATGATATATTTATGTAAAGAAAACGTACCATTTAGTATTCAATGATAAAAAGAAACATTTATTTTATAGTTGTGAATAACTGTGCGATAGGATGTAATTTATTATATTTGTTAGACGAATATGAGCAAACGAGTAATCACAAAACTAGAACATGAAACTCGACTAATGAAGCTTCCGCTGGCTGGAAACGCGAAATATTTTACGCTGGAATAATGAACGAACAGCGGGAGTAAAAAAGATTTTCGATGCGTGGTATCATGCAGACTAGGTGTTTTTTTTTCTTTCTCCTCGCTTTCTTGCTTCAGTCGTTATTGTTAAAGCCACTGAATCGAGCCGGCTGTTTCAGCAATATGTGGCGCGAAAATGGTCCGGTCGCGCTGCGGCGAATCGTGCTTATATGTTTAGTGTGTCTTCAACAATTTCTCTCGCGTTTTGCTTGCTCTCCAATATTTGCTCAGCGTTGTAAGTCGTTTGGTGCCGCGTCGAGGAGAGCTTCAATGGCCATTTGCGACATAGCGAGAAACTTTCGAATAACACTCTACCTACGTTAAAGTACATCCTACGATCAAACAGGCTGCTTTTGGGGAGAGAAGATCAAGAGTCTTCTGAGAATAAATTGCAATATTCCGAGCTACAGCAAGCTACTCGGTCGCGGAGACCAGTCTGTCGGTTCCGGTTTTCCTCGATGACAGCTACGATGATGAACAGCATGATCTCCGAGGAGATTCAAAACCGCATGTTACTTCCCGTGTGTATATTACACGTGGTGTAACACAGGCGAATACACACGGAGAGACGCATCTTTGCATATATGCATGTAATGCTTTTACGTGATAGTTCCTTATTTAAGGAAAAGTACATCAGAATCATGAGGTCATTTCGAGAGACAATCGTGCGAAATTAAAATATTTGCGCTTACCACTCCCGAGAAATGTTTATCGCGTTAATTTCTTTCCTTGCCTCAAAAATTTCTATTCTTCTTTAGTTTTTATTAGTTTTATTAGTCGCGTTTAATAAACCATTGCTGAACGCAGTGCTAGGATAAATAATAAAAAAAAGTTGTATATTTAATTACTTGGTTACTTCTTTTTTAAACAGAATTTATTTTAATTAATTTTGCGCGATATAAAATCCTTTAAACGAGTCTTTGTATATTTTTTCTCTTTTCTAGCGCGGATAAAAGAATTACCGTAAAGTAAATTTTTAGGTATTTTAGGTAAATTGCGTCACAAATGCTTTCACAAATTCCTTTGTCTCTCAAAATAAAGAGAACTAATATGCTCCAATCTATTGTGCCCCTTAACGGCTCAATTATCTAGAGAATAAATAGCATACCAACGATCAAAAAGACGAAAATTAAGGAAATTACGATAATATAGAAGAGCTTTTTTCCGTAACAAAATTTTTAATACAAATACTATTGCGGAAAACATCGATATTCTTACGCAATATGTATATCGCAAATCGTAATAACTATGTGCGTCATCCGTTCGCACAGTTATCGTTTAATAACCGATTAAAAATAAATTTTCGAATCGCATCCAGGCGCTCGTCATGCACCGATGCGCTCGATGTAATTATAATCACAATTAGCAATTACACGTTACTTTAGCCAGCGGTCGCTTCTATAATGAATGGTCTTCCTATTGGGATTTGACTGAAAACTCATGAGTGATTTCAAATGAAATGCGATATGTGCGCGTGAATATCAAGCATATATTCTGTTGCAATATTTTGCTATCATTATAAATGATTAATAATGCGATTTCTAGTTGATTTCTCGTCTTCGATGATCAATTTTCCGCTGGATCGTTTTATTTCCATTGCGGTAATTATTAATTGCGAGAGAATGAGGGCCGCAAAAGTGGAAATAGTAGTATTCATTGAACTTGTGTAATAATATTCCGAATGTGCAGTCAATCTACTTAATTGAATTGAGTGTAATTTTATTTAAAAAATATTAATAACATATATCATAAAAGTAATTGCACTGTTTCAGGTTTCAGAAAGATATTGATCACTTTATTAATTAAAGTAAAGCTCCAGTGGCAAAAACTATAGAAGCTGAATTTGAACTATGCATTTAAATAGTGCATGTAAAAATGATTAAATGAAAAATATGGAGTATATATATTTATAGTATCTCTATATTGTTCGTCAATATTTATTTCTATTTATATAACTCTTATTGTCAGATGCAATATGCAAGGCAAGCAAAATCAATTTTCAAATAATAAAAAATTTGATTTATAGCCTTCAGGTAAAAATCACTGAAAAACTATCCAAAAACAATAATAATTTGTTTCTCCACAATTATATTGTTCTGGCTTTAACGTGGATTATTTTATTGAACTGTAAGCTCGAATTTTTTGAGTTACAAGCGTACGAACGAATCAATATGTTCTCGTCTTCATTCATATTGGTTTGAAAAATCGGTGAATATCGACTCCATAAAGCGCGAGATTAATTGTCGCCCTGTTATCTCGTCCGCTTGGTTACGTTTCGATCCGCTTACAATTCGCCACTAAAATGCACGTTGGTTTAAAAAAACCCAGGTCTTTATTGTCCAAATGAAACTCTAAAGAAAGTATTACATTCTAATCTTTACTCTTTTTCCCTCTTCAAAAAAGAAGATAAAATAAATTAACTCTTTTGAACAGTACTTTAGTTTGAACAAAGAAACATAAAAAGCAAAAATCTGTTTGGTGTGGAAATATATACATGGAAGAAGAACAATATTAAACTGCTTTGATAAGATACATATTGCACTCCTCATTCGCACATCTGTAAAGTTTCCTCGACGTGTAACTCAAAAAAATCTTAAAATTCTCCTTTGATCACTCTAGTCTAGTGGTATGATTTTGATATCATTATGCAAAAGACGTTGATTATGCAAAAGACGGATAAGCTCGTTTGATGTTACACGTTCTGTCGTTGTCATGACGTTTAGCAACCGTAATTAGCTTAGAATGTCAGACACAAACGTGATAAGAACACGTGCATTTAAACGATTCTGTTCCTAATTGCAAGCGTTGATTTCCGGATTCAATATTGCTTCATTTAAACCTCAGAATAATTGAAAATTATGCATTTCCTTATTTATCGATATTATACACATATATTATTGTATCTGTGAGATTTCAACTTAAAAATTTAGAGCAAATTTTCCATTGTCTGACAGCACCGTAATTGTTTCATTTATTTCTCATTGAATGTTAAACTGATAATAAAATATTAATTGTTTAAAAGAAAGATGCAAATTATATTAATTTTTTATTTCATTATACCGATGATTCTTTTATGTATTCGTTTTGTGTAGTTCAATAATTATATTGAACATAATTGATGAAACATTATTTCTTTAGCTAAAATATGTATTTTTAAAGCTGAATAGACGCGCATATATATTAAATAATTTTTTAAAAATATACATATATGTATATACATGCATATATATGATATTTAAATGCAAGGAAAGCAAACTTGTCTTACCTTATGTTATCCTCGTCGACGAATATTATAACCCCTCTGGCATTGTGCTTCGAGCTCAGTCGTTCGATTATTCTATCGAAGTCCTCGGGCTTGGAATTTCTCAGGATCTTCTCGCTGACTGCGACACAGATGTTGTATTCAGTCGAAAGGGCAATGAAACTGGCGATGCCCTGAAAATAGAATTTCAGCCGCAAATAAATTGTCCGTCTGCCCAACGAGAAATCGAATTCCGACGATAACATGCGAGTCTGTTTTCTGTTTTCTCGGTAAACAATTGGAATGTAGTAACGGACGTTTCAGGGACGCATTTCTACCGATTCATATTTGCATACTCTTTTAATGTTGACGATAAATTTTCAAAATTTGCATGAAATATCGCGACTATGGAATAGTAACTTATTGTTTGAGGTGTATCCAAATAAAATGCGCAATGAGTCTTTACTCTTTCGAAAAAAGTCTCACATGTTTGCAGTAAAAGTTTATTCCGCTGTATTTTTATATTAGAAAATTCCGATATTTATGCTAAATTCAAATATTGAATCCTTCAATTACCAATAACCAATACTTGAATAATCAAATTTTGTATAAAAGTTTGATAATTTAATTAGCCGACTTTTGATTGAATGATAAATAAAACATTTCAATATACATAGGTATATATTTATAGTAATTTTTCAAGACAAATTTAACATTGCAAAGTAAATAAAGTAGAGATTTTTAATTAACAATCTTAACATTACATGAAAGTTTTTGTCGAGATAATTGCTATTGTACAAGCTTACGACACAATGAACATCAGAATGCACCTGTTTCTCGTGTTTTCGCGCCACACGAGATATATATACGCAAATAAATACTTCGACGCGGCTCGTCTGTCTTCACGATAACATCCGGCGTGATATATTCGCGATATATTCGTACTCATCGTATATGTGAACGGAGAGAAGCCACGCGGAAAGAAAAGACGGTCGAAGAATAATGCGGAATGCAACTCGAGTTGCAACTGCAGGTATTATTGACGTGTTTCGCGTAATAAAAATTGTCACGATTTATTAAAGTACGCAGGATGAAAATAAATCCATGTTCTCTTTCATTCTGCATTGATATTCGTTGCAATGATTCGTTATAACGATACATAGTAGCGATTATCATATTTCCGCGATTTTATAAATCGCGGGTAAGTTTAAATATTTATACAATTCATTAATAACAATAATTCTATTTTTTTCTGGTTAACAATACAGTAGAATATTGATTATACAAATCCTGATGATTCAAATGATCTGTTAGTAATTTTTTTCAAATAAAAAACTGTTGGAAATGTTTACTTATACATATAGCTAAATTATAATTTTTCCTATATATTTATTTAATTAAAAAATATTTTAGTTTCATTACTATTAAAAAAAAATAATATATTGCTTTTAATTTTTTAAATTTAATTAACTTAAAAAAATCAATTTTTATAAATCAATACATCTTTTATGCAAATTTAATTATGCGTATGGTTTTTCTTTTAGAAAAACATTTTTTATTATACTTATTATACTTATTAATACTTAATCAATATACAATATATTAATATAATATATATGTAAATGTATTTTCATATTTTTTTATAAAACATTAGATATCTTAGATAAGGTACAAAGTAAATCTTAATTCTCCAATGTATATTGATTACTGAATTTTCTAACTAATATTATTCGATGTAATTATAATAAGTAACAGTTAACAAAGCTCTTGTTTCTTTGACAATACCCGGAAGTAATTTTCTATGGGATTAGGACTCCCTTTTATTGTCTATTGTAAGAACAACCAAGTATAAGAAAGAGGAAATTGGTAAGATTGCCTGACACCCTGTTGTGAAATAAAAGGTTACAATTGTCTTAAAATAAATTCTATTTCAAATTGCACGATAAAAGTATTCTATAAAAATTTATCAAAATCTTTTGTTTTTAATGTTTTAAAAATTATTATATGTCAATATTTTTCCCGAGAAAAAGATCAAATTCAAATTTTTTCAAAAATGTAGCTTTCAAATATGTAACCTTCTCTTATACACATATACAAGCATGCAATTTAGAAATAAAATCATATACAATTGCAAAATTAAACAAATGGATTCAATAAAATTTTATGATTTAAAGAAAAAGAAATTTCAAAATTAAAAAATTAAATTATTATTGTGCGTTATATTTTTATTACAGGAGAAAAGAGAAAACATTTTAAATAGCATTTTCAGGAAATAAAGAATGCAAGCGGGCAAACGCGATAGAAAATTAAAATATCTGAGATGCAAAACGCGGAGATGCAAAAGAGACGATATAGATTCGTCAATTGGTACTATAACGAAAAGAACAGCGACAATGAGAAGAACAGACAAATGACATTGTTATCCAGGAATAATGAGAACTGCTACAACAAGAAGATGTTGCTTTATCGGACGATTTATTTAACTTCCTTTAACAATTGGTCGCGACATCATTCTTTTTTATTTCTTATATAATTCCGATATTTTTATAAATCCCTCCGTATATTACAAGCTTCATTATGTGTATTTGCCCAGAGGACAATCTTGAGTCCTTGATGATCTAAAATTATACGTAATTTTATCTTTTTAGCAAAATTAAGTGACCATTTCGTTAAGTGATAATTTTAGCCGTATTGATGATCGTAGAATACCAGTGCAAAAATTGAAAGTATTTAGAAAACGTTATTGTTCCAGAAGAATTCCATCTACAATAGTCTTCCTTCGACCGCAGTTTGTTCCTTGACGCATTTTCGTTCCTTAATTCACGATATAAATCGTCTCATGCATTTTATTCCACGCCGTTATAAGGATATTAACGAAGCCACGTTCGTATAATCGCTTTAGGCGAGCTTACGCCTGAAATATGCATCGCATTTGCAACCGCAAGTGCACTGCGATAGTCCGGTATTTGGCGTGAAAGAAGTGTGTAATAAATTTCATTAAAAAAAAAAAAAAAAAAAAAAAACCAGAAGAAACTTCTTATTCCCTTGATCGTTATCGTAGTAGATCAGACTAAAATGTTTTTAAGTAAGATTAAGTTTTAGACATTTTACAATGTGTTTTTCAAATCCACCTCCAAGAAAACTGTTCAAATCTCTTATTATTGTACGGTTTATTACTCACTTCATTATATTATAAACTAAAGTGTTTGCTCTTGCATTGCATACAAATGAATCCTTTCAAATCGAATATTCTGCATTAAATTTCTTACGTTGTGCATTTTTTTTTTCTAACATTAGAAGAGACTGACGTGCGGTTTCAGCATATTTATATTTATAGGAGTAGGATCGATAAATTTATTCGTGCGAAGTAATCGCCGGACTATTATGATACCTGATAGAGATTAATTAGGCTGATCACTGGCACTGTTTAATTACACGGAATGCGATTACCACCATTCCGTCTGGTGTCCTTTCGAAAGCGCGCGCAGCCGGTACAATTCACGACTAGGAGCGATTTGCACGTACCAAGACGTGGAACATGCCATTGTCACGAACATAAACGCCGGGAGGCGACCATTTCGCTAGTATAATTGGACCATAAAATCGTATCTCGATCAATGTTCGCGGAATATGAAAAATTCTTACGCGACGTCCCTCAACGTAAGAGAAATTATGGGCATTGCCAGTTGAGTTACCGCGCTCATTAAATTATTATACCTACCCATCCGTCTAGTAATTACGCGGCATAATAATATAAAACGATATTGGAATTTCAATATTGGGGAAGTTGCACCTATTCAAATCGGAATTTAAATATACAGGCAACAGATAAGTATTAAATGAGGAGATTGATTAAAAGAGATCCGAAGATTTAATATTGATATGATTGTAGTCATGCAGAATCGCTGAATTGTGAATGTTGGTAATTCTAAAAGAAATTTTAATTTTATTCTATATAAATTATTATTATTATATTAACACTAGTTTCAAAGTATCCAAGTCTTACGTTATATTTTAAAGTTTCAAATATTATTTTAAATTAAACGTTAAAATAATCAGACTCTTTCACATTTTAAGCTTTCTCGACATATGTGTATAAAACCCCATAAATTTTATGCTAAGCTTTTATATAAGTAAAACTTTTAAAGCATCATAGTTTGTTAATAAAAAAAAGTAAATTAAAATTCTCATTGCATTTTTTCATACATTTCTGTAGCTTATAATTTCTTTGATAAAGTTTAAGAAACAAAGAATTCAAGAGACACAAAAATCGACTAAAAAAGTTTTGCTTTCTGCAATTTTTGCAAAGATCGGACTGCTCTGGTAATCTCTTGGCGCGGAATTTTCAGTCGCATACTAATCGCCTAATTTGAGCAGCGGATGTTCGCTGTAACATCACGTTTTCTTGCTTGATTGCGCAATTAGTTTCGTCTTCGCTTGTTAACGCGGTCGCACATAACAATTTCATATTATAATTACTATCGTTATAATAACTAGTATTCAACGTAGCATTAACACGATTGTGCGGTGCGATTTAACAAGATAAGTGTTGCATTGCGTTATAATGCATATTATATAGAAAATTGTATTTTTATTAATTTTTTATATAATCAGATTATATATACATATATATATATATATATATATATATATCTATTATGAATAATTTAAAGGGTTGAATAAGTTAATTATTTTTTAAATTAAATTAAAAGCTATTAACTCTTTAACTTTTTATACATTTAATTTTTAACTAATTAACTAGTTACTACCCAACTTTGATATTTAATAAAGGTAAAAAATAATTTGACAGATCATATTCTATAATATGAATAGATGAATAATATTATGCTAATTGGAAATTTCATAATTTAAAACCCTTGAAATCCTTAAAACTCTTGAAAGAGAGATACATGTTTTTGCATGCATCGCGAAAATAAGGCAATTATTGCAATCTCTCGTATATTATGACCTTGCAATAATTGCAATAAAATTTTATACGTTCCGATATTCAATAAGTAATTATCGAATTATTATCAAAGGAATGTTTGCAATTTAATAGGACAATTTTTAAAATATGTGTACTAATAATAATTTCTAGAAATAGTATAGGTACTGTTCTAAAATCGTAGTTCTAAAAAAGGATAAATTTTTTTGTACAAGTAATTCGTTGATTAGGACAGGGAAAACGTCACAATGATTTATATCTTATTCATTTTAAATTTAATTTTCGTATAACTTTTTCAGGTTAAATTTAACACTCACCTTCTCGCCATACTCGCCTTCCACAGCAACCGTAGAAACATATTTCCATCCGAGCAGATGGATCACCTCGACGATTGCTTGTGCCTGAAAATTGTCAGGTGGTACCACTCTGCTAAAATACTCGAAACGACTTTTATCCGAGAGTTCTGTGCTGGTGGATGCGTAACTTATTTGCGGTATCTGTAATGAGAAAAATAGTCATCATGCAATTAGAGGAGAATAATTTACATGAAAAATATAAAAATAATTATAATATAATAAAAAGAGAAAAAATTGTATGTAATATATTTTTGTGAAACAATATTATGATTATAATGCGTCTTTATATTATTTATATAAACGTAATTAAATTTCATGTTTTACATCATTTTATATTATAGCAATTTAATGCAATTTAGTTTTATTTTGTTTTTCTATTATATATAATAAATATTTAATTTTTGTGTAATGTTTATTAAAAAAGAGTTTTATTTATTTCATTAATGCAATGATTATACATATATTAACGCGTATTGTCCTCAAAAAGATAAAATACAATATTTTTCAAGCTATTTCTTCTTTTGCAACAGTACTCATGTTTCAAGTGTAAATTATATAAAACACGGAGGTGTACGCGTGTATTTATCTCTGTGAGGTGAATATCCTGCATTACTTGATGCACGACCTTGTTTCTCATCGTAAATACGAAGGCAGCTCGTAACTTTACAGCATCTGTGCGCAGGCAGTATCGCGAATCTAATAATCTGTTGTCTGTTGAAAGTGACTAAGTCTCTATCTCTCTCTCTGGCTTCTTTGGCTGCAACGGATAATTCCATTTTTGCACAAAGAGCGTGCTTCGCTTAGACAGTTTCCTGTTGATAGTATTGTACGTTAGCGAATGTTATTACACGCATTATCACGCATCCTTATCAGACCTATAGTGCCACTATATGCGCAAAGGTCGACAATGCGTGTGAAAGCTGCACTCGCATTATTGCCTTCTCTGTATTAATTTGCATTTATGCGTTTCGATATGATTGTTGTTGCGAGATCATGATGTACATTACGAATTACGAATGACGAATGATTAATGAAGAGTTGATTACAGATCAGGTTCGATACACAAATCGCAGTTATAAAAATGTTTTTACGTTTTCCATTACAATTGATTGAGATGAGATAAAGGTCAGCTAATAATTAAAGTGGAATTGTATTTTATTTAATTACCAATATTAGATTATATTGTATGATTGCCTAATGATGTTAATTCTTATTCATTAAATGCCGCTACGTTTTCGCTGGTTTAATTTGTAATTATGTAATTATTGCAAATAAATAAAATTGTAATTATAAATAGAATTTTATGTGTATGAATATGTAATATAAATAATTAAATATTTTTTAAAGAACAAAAATATTTATTTGTTAAAACAAATTTTTTCTGTGTGATTTAAATCATAATATTTATATATTACATAAAATTAGGTATATTGTACATACACAAACACACACACATACGCATACATGACACTCACGTGTGTACATTGATTTAATGTTTAATTTTAAAAATAACGTGATATAATAATTGCGTAAATATTTAAATGTACATTTTAATATTTTAATAAATTAAAATTAAAATTTTCTTTCTCTCTCTCGCTCTTTCTATGTCTATTAAAGAGAAACTTCTGCGAAATTAACTAATAAGATTTTCTTTTCATTTCGAAAGTTAAAGTTAAAACTCGAAACGTAATTTTTTTAATAATATATATATATAAACATTTACATATAATTTAAAATATTTTCTTGATTAAAAAATATTTTAATTTTTGCCTTAAAAAAATTATTTTAATATTTTACATGAAACATTATATAATACGTGTTTTTAAACTTAGAACGTGCTTACATCCTTGCCATATGAATATTGCTACAGAAGATTAACGTGTTCTAATCTGCGAAGATTTCCTGTCTATACGCTGAAACGTTTAATTGGAATCAATAGTTAATTACTTCCTCGGGGAAAACAGAAAGGGAGAGAGAGAGAGAAGGTTAGATCAAGAGAAATAGAGAGAGAGAAAGACAAATAATAACATTCAATACAGCAACGATAATAACGCTTTCGGCGCTATTATATATTTGATGCTAAATGTGATTGTTCGTTATTTTGAATTCACTATTTCTTTTATTATTATGCAAATTGTTACGTATTTGTGTGTATGTTTCGTAGACCAAGAAAAGTTCAATGACCGTCACAACAACTAGATGTCAGAGACGTATGAATTCGCCGAATTAGTAATCATCTAATAATTATACTAATTAGAAGCTTTAATTAGGAATCCAAAATCAATGGAAATGGTTTGACGTTACAAATGGTTTGTAGATACCTAATTACCAATTGGGAGCAATTAAATCCCTATTCGACGTTCACTGCTTCGTTTCATAAGCTATTCAGAATATAATTTGTGTGTGTGCGTATACGGGGCTATCATTTCCATAAGAGACAGATTTCTATAAAATGGAATTCGTACAAGTATGAGCATTTCATCTCTGTTACTTTTCCGTATACATATTATTGTAATGTTGTTGTGTGCATTGTCATTTGTCGTTTGTCGTTTTTCGCTGCACGCCTCGTTTATTTCTCTTCAATTTGTGAAGAAAAACGAGTTTATGGAATGAGTTTCGATGTATTCTCTAATAAAAGCGGTCAATTATATGTCGCGATCGAGTCCAGACCTAAACCAATAATTACAAACTCGCGGTTCATAATTCTATGTAAATTATTCATTAACTCTCTCTTGAGAATAATTTACAGTTTAATTGATTTCGAACTCAATTAACGTTTTGTGCTCCCCACACTGTGGCTGTAACTGTGTGTCACGGCCAAAATTCTGAACAGGTATGTTTACACAAGTAATTTAATTATTGGAAAGTAATCCACAGTTTACTCTTTCCAAAGATATCAAATATGTAACATTCTAAAAGACTTTTAGATCAACAAATAGAAAAAATATTAAAAGGTTTTTAAAATTAATGCATGTGTTAGATGAAATGTTCATTATCAAATAATTAATAAGAATAAATGTTAATTATACAACAATTAAAAAGAAAAAATATTAAAAGATTTTTAAGAATTAATGCATGTGTTAGATAAAATGTTTATTATCAAATAATTAATAAGAATAAATGTTAATTATACAACAATTTAAAGAAACTAAAATTCTATATGCTTTAATCAATAAAACAAAGTACAGAAATTAACTGCATGTATAATATAAATCTTTCTCAGATATATATCGCGTAGTTGAAGTTTCTTTATTCATTAACTGAATTATTATTAATATTCTCGGTGTGTTCTTATTCTTAGGCGATTTTTAACATTCCTGACCAAGTGGTGCAATAAATGGCTCGTTGCAATTCAGATGAGCGCCGTTGCAATTTGTGGAGCGATGCACAGTTTGCCTTCAGAATAGATCTGAGTACTTAAAGGTACCGGGAAAGAAAAGAATTCGAATAAATGAATTAATGAATGACTGACCGAATAAATAGGACCTTTAATGGAACGAGTCGTTATATATATATATATATATATATATATGTATTGTAATTGGCCGTCAAATTGCTGGTAATTGCTTTTGAGCATTAAAACATACCGAACAATGATGTAGAATGATGCAAATGGTAATTATTGTATTTATGCAAAATACGATAATATTTATAAAATTAGATAATTTGATGTTCATTATTTATTTATTTGAAAAAGCAGAAAAATGTATATGAGTCGACAAAATAATTATATTATTTTATATAATAATAATTATATTAATTATTATTAGTATAATATATAAAATTGATGAGATAATTGAAAAAAAAAACAATATATTCAGAATGCTGGAAAGTTTTTTTATGACAAAACTGGTTCAAATGTTTTAATATCGCGAAACCTCAAAGAGAATCAAATAATTATAAATAGTTTTATAAAATTTCAATTTATATGCATTAGCTATTGAGATACATATACAATACTAAAAATGAGATTGAAGAAAAAAAAACAAAGTTGGTTTAATTTTAAAGTTTTAAGAGAAATTGATTGTACATGTACCTATATATAAAATAATTGAGAAAAAGTTTTTCACCTTTGCAATACTCTATCTTGATTATTCATACAATAATTCTATAAAGAAATGACAATAGAATAATTGTTGCCAATATTACTATATTTTTGTTCTAATATCTGATTCATTCGATTTAAATTTATTTTGCCTTTTGTTACATCGACGGACTTTTAAATTTGCCTTTTCTACGCGTAGTTGACGTAATACGAATATATACGAGGCACAAAGAGTTAATTGCGTCCCACGCGGCATACAAAGGAAGAGCATCGCATAACCATCGAGTGCAACGAGCGGCTTCATACCGGGAATCCTAACGAACGAGTTACGTTTGCTATGTAAATTGAATGCAACGGGCGCGTGAAAGTCTACGACAAAGATTAACTCAAGTTGAGAATAACGAGTAAAATATAAAGCCGTCGCTCTTCTGCCGCGTCTGAACATGTCAATATACATTTTTTCATCGTGTGGTCACAATAAACTTTTAGAATTACAAAGATTGTGAACACGACTACGTTATAATGTGGTATAATATTAATAAAATATTTTATATACTTCGTGATATTTGATTTCGTTGTTTACTAATGAATGTTACAATATACACTTGCACAACAGAGAATATAAAATTGAAATTAAACTGGCTGGAAAAACATATTTATTAACTTGTATTTGTATATTTAATAAACATTATTAATTAATGCCATTTCAGTATCGAATCTCGAATCGACAAGAAATAATGATATATCAAAGTATTTTTATTAAAAATATTGCGATATGTTAAATTAGATAGCCGTTAGATATTATCGGATCCCTTTGAGTTTACGCAGAAAATTTCTTCGAGTAAAATCGGAAACCAAGGGGAAAATCGCGAAAAATACCTCGCAGATGTCTTTGCTGCAGTGAAAACACGTTCGCGGAAAGTGAATTGAAAAGAGCACTTGGCTTTCACCGATAAACAGAAAGAGAAGTAGTTTTCAAATTCAAGTGGGTCGTCATAAAATAATGAGACGGGCGATAAAAGTATACGTGCAATAAAATCCGTGCTTTAACGTAACTCGTGTATTTTGTGTTTTCTTATCCGATATTTTTTTTCATCTGCATTGGAACTCAGATTTATACGTAGCTAATCTGGAAAATCCCAGACTCTTATGTCGTATAAAACGCGATTTGAACTATACGTTACGAACAATTAATCAAGACAAAAATGGAAAATATTTTTTAAATCTCTCGAAGCATAAAGATATCCTCGCAACGGTCGCCATAATTTTTAAGATAATTATGATCATCTGACAAAAAGTCACCAATAGGAATTTATCAGTTTCTAGCCAGCAATAATGAAAATTGAATACTTTTTTAATGAAAAAGGTAAATTTGACTATAAATATTTTTTCTAACATACTGAATTATAAAGTTTAAACTACTGTGTATATATATATAAATCAGTCTTTATAAATTATTTAATTATTACTCAAAATAAAGATATGTAACGATAAAGTCAAGATAAAAAAAGCGAACATAATACTATTTCAGCATTGTGAATTATCAATACGGAAAATACGAGATAATCGTTCGATAAAATCCGCGACATTCGCGATATTCATTCACGCGTTGAACATCGATGACGGTAGACCGATAGCAGAAGCTTCTTTGGCGCAAGTCGATTTCGCGCGGATCACCGGATTCCTTTCAGTAAACTTGTGCTGCGCGACATCCTTTCGAAGGCGTCATGAGGGTCTTATCCGAGCGTGATAGGAACGAAAATGGTGCTGCGAGAGTGGTTCTTCCCGGCTCGAGCTTTACGGATGAACGACTATGATTGATTGTTGCGCTGTCATTACCGGTCACGAAGTTTTCGGCAGTGCCATCCCATTCACGAAAAAGCTGTCGAAATTGCGCGCCCGTTGTCGGCGCCTCATTATATTTCTCTTTCCCTCTTTCTTTCTTTCTTTATCAAATTCAATCTTTGCAACCTTCTTATCAAAGAAGGTAACGCTTTCACATCTAAGGACTTGTCGATACATGTATAAGATGGGTCGTACTTTCTAAGAGGTTGCTTCTCAAATCGACCAGTTTCGCCTCTCAATAGGAATGGACGCACATGGCATAACAACGTTTCGAATTGTGAATAAAAACCGAAATAAGTAACGAAATGTCGTATTTTTTTTAAACCGTCCCTTCAACATTTTTTTTCATTTTATATTCTATGTAGACCGGTTCTCAGTTTTTGTAAATGCATAAAATTGTGGATGTTAAAATGATGTTGCAAGAGATACATATTTGTATGATTTTGTCAGAGTAACAAAATCCATGTTTTTCTTTTTTTTTTTTTTTATATACAATATTTTATATATTTTATATATTTTTTTTTATATATATTATATTTATATATTTCTCAATTAAAACAAATATTAGAGATTAAGACATAAAAATTAAATTGATGGAAACAAAATTTAAGATGAGAACTAAATCTTTTTCTATCGATCAATTTGTGAAATACTTCTATAAAACGCTTAAAATAACTGTAGTTACCTTGAAAAGCCGCAAGATATTGGCCACCATGATAGAAACCACGCTAAATGCGGCGCCTATCACCCCTGATACTGGCTTATGAGGAACATAAATTGGAGTCTTGTTATTTTCGCATTTGTACTCCGATATATCCTGAAATAAATAAAAAATGTTAAAATACTTTACCCGTTTTGCAAAATAACAGTATATTATATACACACATACACACACACACACACATATACATATACAAATATATATATTTGAAAACCATTTTCTGCTTTTAATAAAAACACATATTTTAAAATTTTGGACAAAATCAAAGTGCAATTTCTACAATAATTTGCGCTTTTTGCCGCCCTTAGGCGACTATATTATTTGCTGACCACGTACACCCACGATCCTCCCTAAAATCTCAATATCTGGTATTCATGTTTTTTTCGATTAGGGTCAAATATATTGTGAAAGCAATATCGGGAAAAAATTCAGTAAAATACATTTGTATTTATATTGTGTAGTGTAGATGGAAAAGAAAGTAAAATATGTTTTTAGAACAAATTAAATACTCGTAATATATTATATTTAATTTGTCTGCGTATGAAAAAGAAGGAATAATCCGTTTAATTATTTTAGTAGTGGGAAATTATTTTAGACTTTGCGACATATCTTTGTCACTTAATAGAGAACGTTCCTGAATTGCCATGTTTTTGATTCTCCTCCATTCAAAAGAAGATTTACGAGTATAACTGTCACGAATGAAATTCAGCGACAAAGTTACTATTCGTGTGCGACTCAATCACACACACATACACACACACACACATGTTTGGTAAATCCTTCCGAATACAGACTATACACATGACGTTCTACAGTTCGCAATTAAGGAATTCCGCTATTTCAATTCGGTATAGAAGCACACTTGCTATTATTGTGCGTCGGATAATCGTGCCATATCACTTCCACTGCTTGTTACCAAGTAGTCTATAAATAAACAATTACGAGAGGACTGCCCGCTAATAGAATTAATCCTTTGTACGAGCTTCGATAATATAAAATAATGATTTGGTTCACATTGTAATGACACAAAAGAAGTCAATTGAATTACATTAATTGTTAAATTGCGACCTTTCTGATATTTGTAATTTCATATAGTCTTTTAGAAAAAGTTTACATTTATTTTCCTTATTGTACATAATCCAAAATGTTGAAAATATGAGATAATTTCAAATATTAATGCACTTGAAAAAAAAAAAAAAAAAAAAAACAGGAAAAGAGAAAATTTATGAAAATTTATTGTAAACGGTTATAAACATTCATGAGCAAAAGCAATTTGTAATGCTTCTTGCAAAATTACAAAGTTCTCATATTTGTTGCACAAATATGTGCAAGCAATCATCATAAATAAGTTGAAACGTGCGAATATAATTCAACGCAAATCAGAAGAAACTCGCACCGTATTACTCAACATATGATAACGAAATACAACGCGAGTTTAACAGAAGCAAACTTGTTGTTATTTAACACGTAGTTTGCACTGCGCGTTATAACAACTCGTCCAGTAATGTTTTCAGAACCAATTAGATTCTGCTGAATGTAGCTTTTGAACGGACCAGCACACGGTTGAACTCGGTGTATTCAAGCACCTCCTCTTCTCTTCACAGCAACGGATATGTTTCGTCCCTCCGTGATCTTATCGTTAATCCCTTAAATATCCGGCCATTTAGAGGGAATCGCGGTAAACGTATTACGCCGCTTAATACTTAAGCCGTTGGGAAAATATTTTTAGAAGTCTGCAATCCGAGAATTTTTCAACGAAGAAGAAGATAAGGGATAATTTTAATATAGTTTGATAAGTTTATGATAGAAGCTGAAGAGAATTTTTTAAATAAAAGCTTAAACATTTTTTATCATTTTCATCGATCCTGACATTACAAGCCGTTGATTTTTTTTTTATTTTATTAGCTGAACTCTCCCTTTCTCTCTCTCTCTTGCAATATTTGGTGAATGTTTTATCAGTGACATTGCACATGCAATCAATCGCTCACTGAAACTAGTTTTCGCGAACGAAATTTATGTAACAATTAAATTTGATTGATTTTCGAATTTATATGTCCGAACGATTTATATTTACAATTGAATTTCACAAATTTAATTCGTAAACTTGGCGAGGTTTGTCATCACGAGATTTATCGTACATTTCAACGTAACTTGCGGAAACGCGTATTCGCGAAATTTTTTTAGGGAAAAACTTGAGGATACTATTCCTCGACATGCTCAAATGATTTAAATATAGTGAAGCAAACGGATGCAGCAACGCGTTGTGTATTTCTATGAGGATGCACACGATTGCATATAAATGCCGAATGCATCGCGTTGCCACTTCAGGTTATTTAAATATCGCATGTGTCTCCAGCGAACTCATGACATATTAATGTAGTTTTTTTTCCAAAGATATAACTTGCCCTGTGTATGTACATGTGTGTATTACCGTAACGGAAACATTAAGCAGCGTAAAATGTGTCGCCACGAGGAGAAAAGGAGATAGCGCATTTATGAATACATTACGCACACGTTGGAAATAATCCATTTCGCGTTATGAATAAATGAATATTTCGTCCACGCTCATTTTATCGATTATTTATGTAATATTACAACGTAATAATGGTAACACTATTAAAAAATTAATTCGTCAATCAATAAATGTCGCTTATATCACGACAGAAAAATGTAATGTGCACGAGTTGTATTATATTATCGTTATCATTATTAAAAAATAATATGCGTGTACTGACCAGTACTGAACCAATGCACTTTTATTCGGTAAATAAATTAATAGATGTAAATCAAAATTTGCAAATATATTTTATTCTTATTAAAAATATTGTAATTATTTAGATGAAAGCGTTAATAAAATATAATTATTTTAACAGATTATTGCCCTATATGACCTACAGTCAAATGCATAAAATGCATATATAATAATATGAAAATGTAAACAGATATAGAAAGATCAAAAGAGAATAAGAGAGAGTGATATTAAAACATAATTTATATCCGTGCTCTAAAACATAAATTAAAGCGTCAAAACTTTGAAGATTAAAATTTTTAATTATCCTTATAAAAAGTTTTATAACTATTAGTATGAAGATATAATAAAATTTTTATAATTCTTTCGTTGGTATCGCACAAAATGTCTTTGATATTCTCAAGTGCATAATTTATGATTATCATCCATCCTGTATGTGTGTGTCTATGTTATTCGAGTATCGGTTATGTTCGACATGATGAATGAGCTGTAAGATACAGAAAGCTATCAGTCGGCGAAACGTGTGATGGCTCTTGAATCATTGGCATCGTTCCAAAATGTTCGGCATCTTGAGTGAGTTTTGAAGGAGGCTGAAGGAGCCAGAAAAAGAGATTCGTACCTTCGGATCCATAGATCTTCGTTCAAGACGGCGCGTTCTTTTAGCGAGATAACCGTTCCCGTTCGAACGTGAGAAATAAATCCAAACATCGGATTTGAGCATGCATTATTCACGACTGAGAAAGATGTATCCGGTCCAAGGAAAGTAGAAAAGACGAATTTTTTTGATCGATAGCAATAAATTAAACGTATTCGCAATATCGTCACCTATATTTCCAATAGATTTTATTTAAAAAACTTATGTATTTTAAATGTATCTTCAAACAAAGGAATTAATTATAAAGATTTCCTAAAGGAAAAATAAAATAATATTTGAGATTGTACAAAGAATTTGTTGAAACATTTGCTCAAATATGAAAAGATGAATATGTCACAATTTCACGTATGTATAGACATTTTAAGATTTTAGAATTATAAAGTATTTATAGAAATAATTTACATAGATGTGTGTATACAAATTTATGTACATACATAGGCTAAATTAGAAAGAAAAGTTCAACTTTTAATTCAATAATAAATTACTTTTCGAATAAGAATAACTTATTCCTAAGAGTTATATACATATATGTATGTGTATATAACACTAAGAGAGAATAAATCAATTTAAAGACGATTGTACAACGATAATTGTGACAATGCAAGATCGATGAATATTGCACACGCAAAAGTATACTTTTATAAAAATCTACGATTCCCACTAGTACTTCATGATTTACGATTCTCATGTGATAACTGTTCCCAAGAGCGCAGTCGCAGCATTGAATGGGAAGCAAAGGCAATTGCTTGTCAGGAGACGCGGAAAATAAATGGCTTCCAGCAAATGTCACCTCGCGCAAAATCCAAAGGTGGGACTTTTGGCAATTGCGCGGATGCGAAGGTGATTCTTCAAGACCAAGTGCAATGTGTCGCTCAAACGAGATAACGCAATCCAATTTTGCGGTCTATGCGGAAAGCTATTGCATCCGGCGACTTTCTCTCGATTATTCGCAAAATTAAGGGAATAATTAAAACTTGTAATATGATAGAGTATAATTAAACATGATAAAAGACGATATTCTCGCATCCCAATTAAAGTAAAACGAGAGTTTAAATCTGTAAAGATTCAGATTTATGTTAATGTATTGAAATCTTTTAAAATGTTTCATCTAATATTTCAATCAATCTTTATGTAATATATTCACAAGAATTTAAATAATATTTAATACTAATTAAAAAGTTTTTCTTTTCTCTCTTTCGTTTTTTCCAAGTAATTTACCAAGCATAATATTTTATTTGAGTTATTCGATATATTAAATCTCGTTAAAATTTTAATTTAAAATTTAGAATGCAAGAGTTTGTATCTGTAACACTTCGTGCTACAAAAATATATTTATTTACAGATTCTAGATGTTAAGCAGTTCAATTTTACATTAAATTTTAAGTAATAAAAATAAATATTACTGAAGTACGATTTGTACGCAATTCTATGCAATATAGTAAAATGTCAATCCCAATTTCTTTCTGGCGTGCAGAATTTATACCGTACTTCGTTCCTCTGAGTATTACGTTGCCTGCGGCGACGCAGACTTCTCTCTTTCAAGTTCGCGAGATAAATTCTCGACGTGAATAAAAAGCAGTCGGAAGGGAGAGTGACTTTTATGAATTTACTACGATTCCATGAATCTTACTCAAGCAAAAGTGCTACTTTTCACGATACATTCCATGTTGAAATATTTCTCAGAATATTCCG